ATATATATATATATATATATACTCTGCTAGTGTTTAAGCAAATCAGTAGTAATCTGGATCACTCTGTGCACCTTGGCTTCCTTGTAGAATGGTCTTTTTTTCTTTATAATAAATATAAATAATCTAAGTTTCTTTGGTTGCATTATGACAATGGAAAAGGCAGAAAACTGTTCATATCAGAAGATGTTGTGTGTTCTGGGCCAAGTGCTTACTCTGGCATGGCTGACTTTGGCTTCAGTAGCGGGTCTGCATTAGTCAGAATTGAACAAGAAGTTTAGAATCATGCTCTCTGTTTGAAAAACATGGGGCCTGGTTTTTAGATATACTGAGCATCCGTAGTTCCCATTGTAACTTTTAGGAATGAAAAATGCCCAGTATCTTTAAAAAGTAGGTGAAATGGATATATTAGGATATGAAGGGGCATCTTGCAGTTCCTGGTTTATTGATTTACCAGTCTGAAACATGCGTTTCAACTTTTCACTTTTTTCATAGTTGAGCTGTTCTTCTGCTATTTCTGTTATCATTAGTGAATTGCACAATGCAGATTTCTGTTCCTAAAATATATATTTATTAGCAGAATTCACATCTGCTACACCTACAGGTCACACTGAGGTCACATCTCCTAGAATTAATTGAACTACAAACATCACAGGAGGCACTCCGTAAATTTGCAGGATTGGATGGGTAAATATATCTTGTATCTAAAACCCAGATTTCCACTCTGTATTTCATTTTTAAGAACTGTGATAGACTTCACTGAAACAGTGAAAATGGGCCCTCAGGTTTCTCAACTGGGTCTTAAGTTGACCAGCAGTTAATTCTCTCTTTTGTTCTTTCCTGTATTATCTATTTTATTATTTCTATAAACGTTGTGCCTACATCTGACCTAGTTTGTAATGGGTTATATATACAAGGTGAAATTTACTTCAGGCCAACATAAGACCTATGTACCACCTACTGCAAAATATTATGTAAGTAGGACATTTTGCTAGGGTTTCTGCATGGGAAAGAATATCACCTATAAGGACAATTTAAAGATGCACTACCAAAATATTATATGGGACTATAAGAAATCTCTCTCGTGGAGCATTATTGAAATCTACCCTCATACAGAGTGTAATGAGTTGAAATAGATTCATAGGAGCCCCCTAAAGATTCACTTTGTATTTTTATCTTGACATCTCTGACAAATATATCTTGTGATATAGTTAAGCATTATAATTTATCCAGTATTTTTATTTAATATCCAATTTGGTAACCTACAACCACTGTGTTTTTACCCTGTTATTCTTGTCCATATTGCTAAATAAATCATGTTTGAGGGAAAGGATTGTGAAACCCTTGAATATCAATACAAGTTTGCTTTACTGAAGCATGTTTGGTCATTTGCATATGGTTGTCTTTGGAAAAAGTGATGCAATATAAATGGATATTAACAAATCGTTCTTTAATTTGCAATGCTGAACATTTTTCATGCCGCTTTCAATTTGCCAAGCGATCTTACACTCCTCTTCACTTTCCTTTTGAAACAAATTCTTTTTAGCTGATCATCTGCCATTAACCTCCTGCCCCTGTCCCCAGGCTTAGCCTTGTGGTGCTAAGATACTACTTAGTAGGCAACCATTAGTCCTCTCGATCATAGTGTATGCATATGAGGTCTAGTCAGGTGCTGGATTAATCTGCTTGTATGAAGTTCTATGACCATCACAACAATACCTTTGACACATATGTCTAGGCAAGAGTATGGAGGAGCGGAGGCTGCCCAAGACCTACTCCCTCTTTAGACCACTGAGAAAGAATGCAAAAGCCAGACAGAGTCCAGATGTTCAGAGCCTTGGTGATTATTGCTTTTGCCAGAGAGCAACAGATAAGAACTGCTGCTGACTGCCTAATACCTTGGTGAGGGCACGTTTCTGTCAGGGTGATGTCCCTTAGCCTTTCTCCAACCAAAGAGTTCCCACAAGGTAGTGGGGGCTAGGGTTGTGATGTGCCCTATACTCGCCTTACTCTGGAGGTCACAATACTGGTATTTTATAGGAACTACCCTGCCACAAGTAGCCCCACTACATTGCCAGCAGACGCTCCAGGTAGATGCAATTTATGGTCATACCCAGGACCATAAGATACTCCTTACATAAGAAAAATGTAACCAGCCTGAGTCTTTGAAGCCTTATTAGTTTGATTGTTCCGACTGAAGTCAGTATGATTATTTATGTGGATAATAATAAGGATTTGAAGAATGCAAATCGGGACCTAAGAGCTTAATCCAGAACCAATACACTAGCATCAGTAGATCAAATTGTTAAGCTCCCATCCAGCTCACACTGAAATCAATGGAAAGAATTAAAAAAGAGCTGGATCAGGTATGTCTTAGACTTTGTATAACTTTCCATCCCTACCAGCATTTTTACCTGGATTGTGTCTGATTTAGACTGTGAGCTCCACAATTCAAAATCCTTGTCTTTTAGTATATCTGGCAGAAGTTATACAAGACATTGTATAAGTAATGAATAATTTAAAATGAAAAATGACATTCAAAGCCTCTGTAGCAAATGGAAAACAATAAATATTTAATCTGTTATTTTAATTGAATATCAGCATGCAATGATACAAAATGAGAAGAGATAAATGCAAAATAAATGTTCTTCTGCCGCAACTTTTAAGGAAAGACACTACATATTTCTTTTTCTTCCAAGGGTTCTGTAAAGTGTCATTTGTTACTTATTACAAATATTGTTGAAGGGAGATCATGGAAATAAGGAAAGCCAAATTCTGTTTTGACTTCTGGGGGTGTAAATTCTGTGTAATTCCATTGATATCAAAAGCAATGGTCAGGATTTAAATTTAGGCTGATTTTGCTGAGAGCGAAATATAACCTACCTTTTATGTTGGAATTCTCAAAGGCCCCTCAAGGTGTGCACCTGTCTCCTGTGAACTTGATCAACAACTATGAACTCTAATTGGCCTTTGAAAATATTTGTAGAAAATAAATTTGTAGAAAATTTTTAGGAACAGAAAATAAATCTGTATAAATTTGTCCTCTGATAAATTATATTAATTTCAATGTATGTTAAATAATATTTTACATATAATAATATACTTATATTAATATAGTTATAGTAATTGTTATATATTTATTATATACATATATAGTCAGAGAAATGAAATATCACAAATACATTTGCATATATATGCACAGTTGTTTTAAAAGATTGCATAGCTGTTTTGTATAAGCCTCATTATGCAGATATGTTTGTGATGCATCATTTCTCTGGCATCTGATTTATGTTTTTTGAATATGTACTTATTGAACAGGGCTACAAAATCATTACAAAGGTATTTTTCTGGTGTACCAAACTCACAAATCCTACAGTCTTATATATCTGAATAATCCCACCAAAGGCAGGGGACCGCTCACATACATTGAGTTAACCATGTGCATAAACTTCTGTAGGGTAGGGGCTTTAACCAGCTAGGGGTGAACCTGTCTGCAAAAAATTATCCTTTAAGTTATAATAATGGAATACTGCATCTGAATTCCATCTGCAGAGCCAGTGAAGCTGTCACTGCCATCAGAGGAATTACATTGCCAACCTCCAACAGAGACTGAACAGCAAATATATTTGTGCTGTAGTAGCTTGTGAATCATTCAACTGATTAATTAATAAATTATTAAAGTACTATATAAAGGGAAATGGAACTGGAAAAGGATGTTAAAATGACTACTGGTGGTTTTGGGTTTTTTTAAGTACAGATTGTGTGGTCTTTATTATACTACTCTGCAATAGTTTATTTTTGATAATTTCAAAATACATACTCTTTGAAATTATGCATACTATTTAAATAATTGCATTCCATTAAAAGACACAGAGTCCATCATTAAAAATAGGATGCAATGTAAAATTAAGTCTGAAATAGATGCTTTCCATCTGGATGAGTCAGTTCATATTTGGTTATGTAGAGCTTACAGATGATCTGATGTTCTTATATTTGTGAACGTATGTAGTGGTCTTCTCTGATTGGTAGTATATATATCAGGGGCCAGCAACCCCTGACACATGTGCTGAGCATGGCACGTGAGGCCATTTTGCTTGGCACACCATCGCCAGCCCAGGTTCTAAGCAGCTGCTGCCAGCCACGGAGCCCAGGCTGCTCCCAGCTGGCAGGTGGGAGGCTGCAAGCCCTGCTGCAAGCAGACTGGGCTTCATGGGCCAGCTGCAGCTGGGAGGCTACTTACAGCTGCTCTGGGCTCCAGCATATCAGCGCTCCGGCACCTTCCAAGGTAGACATTGTGGTTTTTTCAGCACTTCAGCCAAAAAACGTTTCCTACCCCTGGTTTATATATTTAAGTGTGTGTGTGTGTGTGTATGTGTATATATATATATAAAATGAAGCCTTACTGAAAGTGCAAGAACAAACCATCCCGATGCGCAGGAAAACTATCAAATATGGCAAAAGACCAGCTTGGGTTAGCAGGGAACTCTTCAGTAAAGCAAATCACAAAAAGGAAGCTTATAGATGAAAAGCTGAACAAATAACAAGGGAAGAATATAAGAGCATTGCTTAGGCATGCAGGGATGAAGTATGGGGCCACTTATACAAGTAACGGAGGTTTAGTCCCCTAAACTGAAATGGTGGGTTTTTAATTGTGCTTATTAAAAAGCCCACTGTTTCTATTTCAGGGCTTCCATCACCATTATGGTGAGGTGCCCAATCCTTCTTTTTTTTTTTTTCCTGTTGAGCTTGCCTGCCTCTCCCACAGCTGCAGGATGAGCTGCTAGTCAGCTGAGCAGTCCCTGAGCTGCAGG